TAAGATCTTGTGAAACAATACTCCTTGGCTACAAAGATCAATACAGTGACGACAATCCAAGGTTTGACATACTGCTGGTAGGCTGTCCTTGTAAAAATACTTTCTGGGCAAGGCTACTGTGACCTCAATGCAAAACTGGTCCCAGCAGTCTGTTGTGAATGGCTCTTGTCATTAGGCACACCATGGTGAGACACACCCCCCCCCCCATACCATCGAACTTTATTGACTAATTTAGTTAAAATTGATAGATTAACACGGTACTCTGTTTTGATTCTGATAGCTTTTATATGAGGCATGTTTTATTGGTTAACAGGAACTGAGGGAAATAGACCTTTACCACTTGAGGTTTTCTGTTAATCTAGCTGGGATTTGAATTGTGGGCTGTGCTGGGAGGAAGAGGAGGCAGGACTTCTGATGGGTGAGATTGTCAGTATCCACATCCCTGTCTGTGGGTGTCTGGGAAGGAGCCCAGAGAACGATGAGCTGGAATTTGATGTTGTGCAAGCAGATATGGTATCAGGCGCTAAAGGTGAGCTTTCTAGAAGGTTTGTCAGTAAGAAATCCAGAATTCAGAGAGAGGAGGATTAGAGAAACAAAGTTGAACATCACTGGTAAGCATGTGGGATTTGAAGACTTGCTATGGGTGAGGTCACCTAAGGAGAAAAGGGGAGAGAAGGACACCAGGACAGAGGTGAGTGCATGGAAGAGGACCAGTGAGGAAGACATGCTACAGAAGCCATGGCACAGATTTTCCCTATCATCTTCCAGGGATTTGGGGGCTGGGAGTTATCTGTGTCCAAGTACTAAATAAGAACTGAGCAGTAACAATGTGGAGATCAGTGGTGGTCTTGAGAGGTGCCACCTCAGGGAGTGAAGAGATGGCAGTGTGACTGGAAGGTAGAGGGCAGTGTGAGGCAGAGCAGGAATGTGACAGCAGCAGCCAGTCCCTAGAATCTTCTGGAAGGAAGCAAATGGCAGGTGGGATCTGGCCATGAAATGGGCCTCTGGAGGATGGCTCTTCACCTTTTCCCCTGTTCTCTGAAGTTTTGAAGCACAAGGCTCAGGCTGCTGCTGAACCTGACTATGTTCTTAGGTGTCCATGGTGTCTTGGAAGTGGCCAGTGACCCCAGAGGAGGATGACTGTACAGGTGTGCCCTGAAAACTTGGTCACTGTCTAGAAATCCTGGTGGGAACAAGTATGGTTTCAGTTGAAACACATGGCCTTGTCTCATGTCGAGGGGGATGGCCTGCTGGATTCCTTCAGGATAGTTTTAATCACTAAACACATTGGATGGTTGAAAAAGAATAGTAAACTATTACTAATATGTGTACAGAAATTATTTCTTTGGTATTTGAAGGTTTTTTTATTACACATTCATTGCATATTCTCAAGTCAATTTGCATGTGATTTGGAATATAAAATGTACAGAATATGTTCATATAAATAGGATTCTCATTAAATTAATTCATATTTTATGTAAAAGCTTTGTGCAAATTCATTTATTATTTCCATATTAGTGCCCTGCTGGTCCCTCTCATTGTGCCCTATGGACACTGCTACTTGCTTCTTACTGGGTACTAGGGCTAGACTTTTCAGGATTCCCCTATGACGGCCTTCTTGAGAAACTTCTTATTTCTCAACATTGCTTGTTGATTCCTGGTAACAAGGGAAGATAGTCTTCCAGTATTCCACCACCCTAGAGAAGTCACTGAGTGAAATCAATATTCATCTTTTTACATTGGTTGGCCACTCCCATGATTTCTGTCCCACCTAATTTACCCTAGCATATCTTGCAGGTAGGACAAATTATAGATCAAAGGTTATGTGGCTGGGTTGATGTCCCAATCTCCCCTCCCCCTCCAGAAACCTTGCCTGGTTATAGGAGATGGCCAGTTTAAGCTATGTGCCCTCTTGCTAGGAGTCTTAGCTGGGATTATCTTTGTAGATTCCTGGTAGTGTCCACTGCACTAGGTTTCTACCTCACTCCCAAATGGTCTCCTTTGCTAGTTGTCTCTTCCATTACTCTCTCCTTCCATGCCCCCCCCCCACCTAATTCTTCTTGCTCCTATCCCTACCTACCCCCAGTCTTCCTGCAAAATCTATTCTATTTACCCTTCAAAGAAGAGTTAATACCAGTACTCCTCAAATCATTCCATAAAATAGAAACAGAAGGAACATTACCAAATTCATTTTTTGAGGTCGCAGTCACCCTGATATCTAATACTCACCAAAGAAACTGAACTACAGATCAATATCCCTTATGAACATTGATACAAAAATACTCAATAGAATACTTGAAAACTGAATCCAAGAACACTATGATCAAGTAGGCTTCATTCCAGAGCTGCAGGGATGGTTTAGCATACGAAAATTTGTCAGTGTGATCTACCATATAAACAAACTGAAAGAAGAAAACCACATGATTATTTCATTAGATACTGAAAAGCCTTTGACAAAACCCAACACCCCTTCATGATCACCTATATACACAATTTAGAATAAGATCTTTAAAGATGTCGGAGCCATCATACCACACAGCAGGGTATGGAGTGGCCTTGGTTTTCGAGCCTGGGGACCCCCTCTGAAGGATCATGAGAGCAAGGTAGAGACCTGGCACTTACACCTGGGGATGCCATGCTTCCTGTTTCTCTGGGAGGCGGCAATCGGGGTGGGCCTTTGGACTTGTTGTCATGTTTGTTATCTAACTTGCTAGCTTGAGTCAAATTCCTCTAGTCCATTCTTCAGCTCTGACGGAGGGCTGAATTGCTAGTCTCCACCTTTAGCTGTTGACCCTCTCTGCCTTAGGAGTTCTCATTCTGTCGTTGGCCTAGGTGTAGTTACCAGGTTTGTGTAGCTCTGGGGAAGCATGATAGAGGAGTTCTCCATTGTTGCAGTTTGCTACTGTCTACTTGTGTGGGGATATGGGCCTTTCCCTGTAATATTGGCCTTTTCCTTGGCAGCCACCCCACCATGTATCTTCACAGCTCTTACCTCTCCTCTAGAAGACTCCAGTGGTCTGGGCTTAGGATGGTTCCCTGTCAGGTTTTATTTTAGACTTCCCTAACTACAGTAACCCCTTTGGTTCCACAAGAGAAGTCTGGTCCAGGTAGTAATATTCAGTCCCACTGACTTCTTGAAGGTTCTTTTGATAGTATGTACTGTTAAGAAAGAGGTGTTGGTTGTAAGCATGACTCCTGATACAGTTCTCAGCCCACAGGGTATCCACCAGAGAGAAACCATCTTAGCTGGAAGCTTTTCTGTGTCCTGCCCGGTCCCATAAATGCTTATGAAATAATCACTCAGAGATTTAATATTAATGATAATTGTTTGGTCAGTGGCTCAGGCTTACTACTAGCTAGCTCTTACATCTTAAATTAACCAATTTCTATTACTCTCAGCATCGCCACATGGCTGAGATGTCTCCTCTGACTCCACATTCTTTATCCTTATATCCCTGCTTGGATTTCCCACATGGCTAAATTCTGCCCTGTCATAGGCCCAAGCATCTTTATTCATCAACCAATAAAAGTAACACATATTTACAGCATACGGGAGGACATCCCACATCAATGGTCAGAGTTTATAATGGTCTAAGATTATAGCTTTTACTTAGGCTATTAATTTGGTTTATTTTTCAGTGGTTGTTATAAAATAAGAGGGGCTACCAGGTTCTCTAACTCCTGTGGGAATTCATTTGGAAAGTAATGGAATACATTGTGGATCTTGTAGCCTGAGTGTGGTGGTTTGAATGGGAATGTCCTCACAGGCTCATTTGATTCTTAGACGGTGGGCCGGGATGGCTTAGGAGGTGTGATGTTATTGGAAGAGGCCTGTCATTGTGGTTTTTTGAGGTTTAAAGCCCATGTCAGGCTCTGCTTCCATCTTGCAAATAAGATGTGAGCTCTCAACTATTGCTACAGCACCATGCCTGCCTGCCTGCCAAGATTCCTGCCTTGATGATTGGATCAACCCTCTGAAAATGCAAGCAAGTTCCCAATTAAATACTTTTTTATAAGTGGCCTTTGTCAGGGTGTCTCTTCACAGCAATAGAATAGTAACAAAGACACTGTGATATTGTCCATCTCAAAGGCTCTGAGTAGACTCTATATTGTTGTTGAGGGCTTTGCCACAGTTGGAGTGAAAATGAGAGGTAGTACCTCTGAAGACAGTTGTAGAAGTAGGCAATCTAGTAAATAACATAGGAAGCCCATGTTAGTCAGCGCTGTGTAATGTGAATAGTGTCTTAAAAGGAAGCAAGGTTTATTTTGGCTCCTAGTTTGAGATGCTCTATTCTTCGGTCAATTGGCCTTGTTGCTTTAGACTGTGACAGCAGGATATGTCTACCACATAGCAACTCAGAAGCAAAGTGACAAACAAAGGGAATAGGGTCCCAGTGTCCCCTTTGAAAGCATGTCCCTTGTGACCTAAATTCTTCCCATTAAGTGCTGCTCCCTAAAGTTGTCACAACTTCCCAAGATTACCCCAGGCTAACAACCAAATCTTTCACATGGGAACCTTAGAGGACACATCAAACCCCTTAGAAGCCCTGGGATTTCTAGTTTAGTGTGTTCTAAGACTTACTTTATGTGTATGAGTGTTTTGTCTGTATGTACGTGTTGTACCACATATGTGCCTGGTATGGAGGTCAGAGGAAGGTACTAGGTCTGTTGGAACTGGAGTTATGGATGGTTGTGAACCACTATGTAAGTTCTGGGAATTGAACCTGGATCCTCTGAAAAAGCAAGTGTTCTTCTTAACTGCTGAGCCATCTCTCTACACTTTAGCTTAGTGTTTTAAATTATATGATCGTGACGTTTGAGGATGGCTGTTTATTAAAGATGGTGATTGTATTCAGTCATGAACATAGCAAGCTAGGCTTTCTGTTTCTGGACTGGCTTACAGCTTTCTCATCTGTCAGACCTGTTATTGAGAAAGACCCCTTCAGGGGTGGCTTCCTGAAGAGGCTTTGATTTTAACCAGGAGCACGTCCTCTCCCCAGATCCAGATGCAGAAGTGTGCCTTCATGTCTTGCGGCTCATCCAGTCCGTGGTTCTAGAACCAGAGGTCTTCTCCAAGGCGGCCTTGGAGCTTCGGAGCTCCTTACCGCTGGAACGCATCCTGGCCATGTCCAAGAGCCGCAACTCTCACCTGCAGACTGCTGCTCAGGAGCTCCTGGAAGACCTCCGTGCCCTGGACTGCAATGTTTAAGTGTGCTTGACCACCAGGGGCATGGTGAAATGCCAGTGCCCCTTCCCCTCCCCAGGCCCTTTACCTTTGTGTTCACAACTAGATGTCACTGTATGTAGGCCTTGACAAACTAGAGGTGGACATGATGAATAAGCATCCTCCATTTCCATCCTGGGAGGCCACAATTGTTAGGTAGTTAGTTGGTTATGTTAATCCTGCCAGAGCAAAAGGTTGTATTCTTTAGGAAGATCCCTCTGAACATCTGGAAATTGTTCCAGAGTTTTCTCAGAGTAGCTTCTTGCTGTCCTAGAGGCTGCCCACACCAATAGGATCACTCTAAGGTTGGGAGTTTAGGTCACCATCTACCATGGATCAGTCTTTCCCAGAAGCATTTCTATGATAACCCAAACTCTTTCTCTAGAAACTATAACCCCCCACTATACAGGCTTACCTTTGTAACCTTTTGGTGAATTTATTATTTCCCATGATATTGGACATTTGATCTCTGTTTTGGTGCTTTTTATTTTCAAATAAAGTTGAGTCAATATTAATTATCACATTGTGAAATATAATCTCGGAGTTAGGAAGTTGGTATCCTTTGTACATTAACATTGTCATTTGTGTAGCAAGACACACTTTCCTTACTTTGTTCTTGCCCTTTGTGAACTTAAAGCAAATATGGGAAAATGGCCTCAAGATAAATACGAGAGTAAATTACACTGAGCCATCCATCTGCTTCTGCACTCCTGTGGAGTGTGTGTGTGTGTGTGTGTGTGTGTGTGTGTGTGTGTGTGTGTGTGTGTGTGGGGATATGGTGTCTCTGTGTTTATGCAACCATCACACTAGTTTATGTTCTGAGGACAAAAGAAAACATGGTACACCTGTCACAGAGAGGTGTGCGAGAGAATTCCATTTAAGGCAGCATACACCATTCTTTCTCTGAGTTGCTTTTCTCAAGGCAGGGCAAGTTACTGCAGAACATTGAGCTTGGCCGTCCTGTAAGAGAAGTAAACCTCAGTGTCCCCATGCAGTGGCAGCCTCAGCACACAGGCTGAACTGTTTCCCTGCATGTGGTGTTGTAGAATGACTTCACTGTCTTTTAAGAGGAGATGCACTTTGTGTTGAATGAAGAACTAAAAGGTAATGTGGCTTGCATCTCACAAGGCAGCCTGTTGTGGAATACTAACTCAGAGCCAGGGAGATGTAAAACAGCTTAAGATTCATGAGGCAGATGTACATCCATCTGTGCTTGGTGGCTGTGTAGGTCCTGTCCCGAATGAGTACACACTTCAGAATGGCATTCCCTTCTTTCTGCTTGCCACTCATTTAATATCCTAGCGGGGGGAAGCTGTTATGATTAACTTGTGCTTCTTTCAGGATTGCTGACATTTCTCTACCAAAAAGAGCCGAACTGTGTGTAGATAAGAAGAAACTGCCAGCCCTGTGAATACCATGTGGTTTGGCAGTTATTAGATGGTCATGAGGGTAAGGATTTGATCATTCCTTCTGTTCTGAGGTACGTTCTAGGCAGGTGTTCCCAGGCAGATTCTCCTAGATTTGCTATGCACAGGTTTCCTTTGTGAGTACCACAGGGAGTACCGAAGGGCTCAGACCAGTGTAAGAAAGCCTGGCTTCTTTAGTTTTTTTCCATATCTAGTAACTTGAAGAAAACCCACTCAACTAAAAAATAAAAATATACATTGAAGCATATACCTTGCAGGGACTGAACCCTTGTAAGTTTAAAAACCAGAGAATAATGAGTTTATATAACCCCTTTGTAAAAAGAGAGAAGAAGAAAAACATAAAAGCCAGAGATAGAGCTGTTAAGTACATGTACTTCTAATTTAACTGTTTTAAAGACGCTTCTTGTATTTGTAGAGTTAAGGAGCTCTTTTTCCTTGGCGCCATCAGCTTCTATGAGAAAGTGGGAAACCTGGCAGAATAATAGCCAGACTGTACCAGCTCCTCCCCCCTGAGCCTCTCTGACTGTTATTAGCATTAGCCTTGGAATCTGCTGTCAGGGTGAAAGCTGATCCTGGGTAATACACAGAGCCATGTGAAGTCTCTGGGGATGGCTTTGTAGACCTGTTTCTTTTCTTCATGGAATATGACTGGGATAGGTCTGGTGTGTAAGCGTTCTAGTGGTGGAGATGTGCAGCCCATGTACCAGAAGTTAAAAGATAAAATAGCAAGTCTGTGGCCAGAAGAAAATGATATCGAGGCTGCAAGTCAGTCCATGGCCAAGGAGCAATGTGAAAAGGGTTGTACAGTGCCTGCTACACCTGTTCTTCTAGAGCGGCTGTTGTATGCTGCTATGACATTACATTAAATGGAAAGGGCTGGCAAGTATCTCTGAAGACTTCCGATTTCCTAAGAAGCCATGGCGTTGGCATTTGCTTTATATCTTCCCATGGCATAGCTGCTTAGAGTGTCCCAAACTGACTCATTTGACCCATGGATGATCCTGAATAAGACCCTAGGGTAACATAGGATGATGCAGTGTCAGACTCAGCATCCTACCAGGACAGTGTGTTCTGAAGTGATGGGCATCCATTGAAAGGTCCTTGGATACTTTTCCAGTTCAAGCTTGGGGTGGCGGTGTTAGGGGGCAGAAAACAATTGGTATGGTCAGCCCTACCCCACAAATGTTGCAACTGCCCCATCTCTGAGACTTGGCTGTCTCTGCTCCAAACATAGATTTATGTGGGGATATAGGACAAGAAGTTAGAGTGTGCTATACAATAAAAACTGTCTTTGGAGTTTTTACAGAAAGTCTTTAAAGTCACAAAATAAATTTAACATAAAGTCTTATATATTAAGTGTAGAATTTAACAGTATATACATCACCACTCTCTGTTTCTGCGATTTTGTCCTCATCTAGGTAAAAAAAAAAAAAAAAAAAAAAGACCCAGTAAATGACTCCCTACAGGCCTCTCTCTCTCTCTCAGTCCTTGGTATTCCTGTTCTATTGTGTCTGTGGATTTAGCTGAAACATTTGTCCCACGTGTTCTGGCTTATTTCCTCTGTATAATGTCAGGGTTCTTGTGTGTTTAACATGTCAGTGTCTCACTGTTCTAATGGCTGTTCAGCCATGTTTATATGACCACAGTTTATTTCTCCATTTGCTGTTGAACACTTGGGTTCATTCCACCTTTTAGCTACTAGTGAATAAATCTTCCAAGAACATGTGTGTACAGTGCTTTGCTTGAGTCTCTGCTCTTGATTTTTTTGCATATATTAAATTTCTGGATCATGTGGTAACACTATGTTTAATGGTTTTTGCTTGTATATGTGTATGTGGTTGCACATGCATATGCACGTGTGTTCAGGTGCTTGTGTGAGTTTGGAGGCTTAAAGTTGATGTCATATGTTTCCCTTGGTCTCCACCATATATATTGAGGTGGAGATACACACACACACACACACACACACACACACACACACACACACACACACACACACACACACACACACACACCCCAAACCTGGAGTTTGATAATTTCAGCTAGTCTAGCTGGACAGCTTGCCCCAGAGATTCCCCCAAGTAATAAGGATTTCTTGCTGAGTAATAAGGATTACAGTTAGCTGCCATCCCCACCTGACTATTATATGTGTTCTAGGGATTCAGGTTCTGGTCCTCACATTTTCATGGCTAATTTTTAATCCCCTGAGCCATCTTCCCAGTCCCTATTTAACTTTTGGATGAATTGCCAAACTGTTGTCCACTGAGCAGCTACACACAATCTCTGTTCTCACCATCAGCAACACAGGGAGCCCTCATCTACCCCTTCCTTGTCCACACTTGCCCTTTTCTGTCTTACTGACCATTGATCATAGCAGCTCTAACGTGGTCTCCCTGTGGTGGTGGTTTTCATCCCCGATGGTGAGTGCTGCCTCTAGTGGCCATTGGTGTGGCTGCTGTAGAGGGGTGGTCTGTGGAGATGAGTTGAGATTTTTGAGTTGGGCTGTTGCTTTTTGTTGCAGGGCTGCAGAAGTTTTCATGAGTTCAGGGTTTCTTCCCAGAGTCAGGATTGCAAGTGCTCACTATCACTTCATGGGGTGTCTTCACTGTTTGTATTGTCTTCAGACGTAGAGGAGCCATTCATGTTCACCACTCCCAGCTTGTGTTTCTTTCTTTATTTTATTTTCAGTGTCATAACTAAGAAATCACCAAGTCTGCACTCATGAAGTCATGAAAGCAGCCTTCCTGTGCTTTCATTTGACTTTGATGGTTTTATCACTTTGGTTTAGAATCATTTCATCCACTTTGAATTTTTGTTGTTGTTAGTTTGCTATTGAGATGAGGTTCTCATTGTATTGCCCAGTGTTGCTTGGGGCTCCTGGATTTAAGCAATTCTCCTGTCTCAACCTCTTGAGGAGCTGAGGAATCTGCCACCACTTCAGCTCATGCATTTTTACACATAGTATAAGGCAAAGGTCTGGATATGTGGAGGATATCCAGTTTTCCCAATACCATTTGTTCAATTTTATGATTGTCATTTTAACATGGCATCACAAATGAACTTAGAAGTTGGTGTATATTTTGCTTTCTGTTTTTTAAGTTGGCTTCATGAGTAGCCTTGTTATAAGGGTTATACTCAGAGGGGGGTCCCTGACTTGCCTCTTGTTCTCCACAATGGTGAGTCTAAAGTTTCCTAGAACATGCCTGGCACAGTGACTGGCAGTTGGAAAAGTGATGCTCACTCACATAATCTAATGTGGTTTTAAATTGAAGGCATTTTTATAGCTTCATCTTTATATAGAATATTTCTGTGAGTGTCCATGAAGTACATTCCAGGCAGCAGGAAGAGGCAAAAGGCCAGAGAATATTCACCAGGGCCCACAGGTAGGGCGAGTTTGAGTGCTGCTTTGGGGGTCTTTGTGATGCCTGCTGTATGATAGCTGGGTGTTGGAAGGTGGGGGGGGCAGGGACAACCTTGGGTTTACACTTAAATATAAAAAGAGGATTGTGTTTTTGAGCATCAGATGGGTACAGTATCTGTCTTTGATCATGCTGCCCTTTCCTACCTTCACACATGATCAGAGACCATGATGTCCAGACCAGCAGAGAGCTGTGATGTCTGCAAACACCTTCCCAGGATAAAGGCCTATTCTTCCTTGATTTCCAGGGAGCCAGAGCCCTGATGAATGAAGCTGGACTAGGTAGTGGGAAGGCTTGACCCAGCCTGGGTATGGGTGACTCTTCTTTCCAAGGTGAGTCAGAGCCTCATGACAGGGTTTTCCAAGGAGTAGGAATCAACAAGCAAGGGCCAGGTGCTCCTATGCAGCCAAGTATATGGGTTCCTCTCATTACAATGTATTATGTCCTTGCTGCTTTATGCATTGTGTGCTCAGGACATTTCTCTTCCTGTCCTCCCTGCAGACACCCAAGGCCCACTCTGTGGGTTCCTATTGGGTACTGTTTTTGCCCAGCTACTATGCACACTGATGTACTGTGTAGCATGGGCCAACACAGAGGCATGTTCCTGCCCCTCTACCTGCTCACCCCTAAGGAAAACATCTCAGGCCTGCCCCTCTAGTCATACCAGCC